TATATATATATATAGAGATATATATATATATATATATGCTATAAAGCAGTCGATGCAATCAGTTCTCGCTATATGTTAGGATCCGAATATATTGGTGTACAGGACAATGTTTGTGGAGGAGAGGGAAATTCGTTGGTATGACCACAACCACAACCACTACCATTCATTCACAACAACCACGACAACTCATTTACTACAGCCACTATCACTCGTTCTAACCGCTTAGACGCACACAGATACATTCACACACACACTGACAAGCATAGCAAGGGAACGCACACAGATACATTCACTCACACACTGACAAGCATAGCAAGGGAACGCACACACTCATCGATACACACGCACACTTTCGCAGAAATATGTGAAGGAAACTTACAGACACGCAGATAGATACATACATACACACCCATACACCCATACACACACACACCCACCCACACACACACACTCACACACAGACACAGATACACACACACACACACATACGCATACCGATGTAGCTCCGGCAGAGCGGAGAAGCAGAGAGGAGTGGTTTGGGACAATCAACCTCGCTAGCTGCAAGATCGTTGTGCGTCCATCAAAAAAGGAAGGCTACTGCTTCAAGATATTCCAACCACAGGGCAAGAACATCTTCGGTGCCAAGGTGTGTCCATGATGCACACGCACACACACACACGCCCACAAGCACACACACCACTTACATATATATATATATATATATACACACACACACACACATATATATATATAGTATGTATGTATGCATGTATGTATGTATGTATGTATGTATGTATGTATGTATGTCTGGATGGATGCTTGCATATATGCATGTAGTTATGTATATATGTACCCACTCACGCATGCACTGTCAAACGACATATTGTGCACTATAATATACATTGCACCGACCGTACTATGCATTCAAACACTATTGACACTCACTACATATGCTCATATGGTCATGTGGTCATATGGTCATATGGTCATTTACTCATATGCTCATATACTAATATACTCATATGCTCATATGCTCATATGCTCATATGCTCATATGCTCATATGCGCACAGGGTGTGGTAGAGTCTCTTCCAATAGCCACAGATTACATCATTCTGCGCTCGACTGATGCGGCCGAGGGACAGGCGTGGTTCAATGCCATCCGCAAGATCATCGACGTCTCCTATGAACACAACGCACGCTCAGACGCCAAGGAGGATGAGGGGTATGTGAGCTACACAAGCCACGGGATATGTGTACGTCACGACACAGGTGTATGTATGTATATAAATACGTATGTGTATCTCACATATTTTATATATAGATATATGTTTCTCACATACTATATATAGTAGTATGTATCTATATACTTTATATATAGTTATATGTATCTCACATACTATATATCTAGTTATATGTATCTCACATACTATATATAGAATTATATGTATCTCACATACTTTATGTATAGTTATACGTATCTCACATACTATATATATAGTTATATGTATCTCACACACTTTATGTATAGTTATATGTATTTCACATACTATATATATAGTTATATGTATCTCACATACTTATGTATGGTTATATGTATCTCACATACTGATGTATAGTTATATGTTTTAGATCTCACATACTTATGTATAGTTATATGTATCTCACATACTATATATATATAGTTGTATGTATCACAAGCGATTGGGGTACTAAGTATGTACCACTCGCCCTCGGATGCTATGGATGGTACATGTGGTTGCTATGGATGATGCCTATGGTTGCTATGGATGATGCCTATGGTTGCTACGTCGAATACTTGGCAGTAGCTCAGATGGCTCTGCCCGTTGACCACTTAGTAGAACGCTCTTGAGCGGTTGAGATAGATAGCCATGATATTTGCAGTTTATTTCCCTAATTCTGATTGGTTGCAATGTACACTGGCTGCTACCGCAGGACGTTTTCATTTCACTCATTCTGACTGGTTGCTATATACGTCGGTTGCTATGCAGGGTGTTTCTTAGCATCTAAAGCAACTATAGTTAATTTCACTAATTCGTTGCTATGTACAGTGGTTACTATGCAGGACGTTTGTGAGTGGCTCAGATCCTTACTACAGCCCATTTCACTCAATCTGATTGGTTGCTATGTACGTTGGTTGCTATGCAGGGCGTTTGTGAGCAGCTCAGATGAAGATGATGACGACGAGGGCCTCACATCCGAAAGTGAAGCGGACGACGACGTCGAAAGAACGGCATACGTTCCAGCAGTCACTGAAGTGGAAGTATGTGCACAGACGATCGCTTTACTTTGTCGCCTTGTTTATAGAAAGTATAGTGTGTGTGTAGATATGGGAATGGCATTGTTATGTATGTATATATAGACAGTAGTAGTGTATATATATATATGGCATTGCTATGTATTTATATATATATAGAGACAGTAGTAGTGCATGTAGTTTTATATGGCATTGTTATGTATATATATATAAATATATATGACAGTAGTCGTGTATGTAGTTATATATGGCATTGTTATATATATATATATGTATATATTTGTAGAGACAGTAGTAGTGTATGTAGTTATATCTGGCATTGTTATGTATATATATATATATAGACAGTAGCAGTGTATGTAGTTATATATAGCATTGTTATGTATATATATATATATGTCGAGACAATAGTAGTGTATGTAGTTATATATGGCATTGTTATGTATATATATATATATAGTCAGTAGCAGTGTATGTAGTTTTATATGGCTTTGTTATATAT